ATCGCCTACTGATAAATTGCCAACGGTCGAAGAAGTAATAAAACTTATAGAAAATAGATAACTAGTATTTGAGGTCATAGAGTTAGTTGACGTGTGTTAGGTACTCGCGTGAAGAATTATCAGACAATGCAGTCTAATGATTTTAATCTAAATTTATCGTGTTCAATTGTTTATAGCGAATATCAAATAATTTAGCAGCTACGGTAATCATTGACTTGTATGCTATTCCAAATAATATTCTGCGACTAATCTGTCCATTACTGAACCCCGACGTGCGCTTTTTGGCGCTAATCGTTTTTATGATATGCTTTGTACGGGCAAAAGAAAATATGGCACCGATGGTCAAACGAATCAAGAGATAAATTATATTACACATTTTTTATGTCAGGTAGAGTTATATTATTTTTATCATTACGCATTACTCTGGCACGTTCTTCGACCACTTTATATTTTAAAATGATAATAATTTCCGAAGTACTTTTCAAAATTAGATCATTTTTATTTTATAAGCTAGTTAAATATGTATGTTGCCATTAAAAAAAAAATAATGGTGACGCCCTTATAAGGTATAAGGGGTGAAATAAAAACTAGTTAATGAATCGAGAAATGTATAAAATAATTTAAATAGTGTTACTCACATTGTAAAATTCCTATAAATTTTACATAAAAATAATAAATTATACAATTTATATCCAAAAAAAATTGAAATCTGTTAAAATTACATTTTATTATCAACTAAAGTCAGTTATCGTAAGAGTCATATGAACATTTAAATGTTCATATTGTCATATTCGAATTATTCATAATGTCGATTGTCATTAATTGAATCATCTAATTGACCCGTTTTTCCCATAATTAAAGAAAATTATTGTCTAACCATATTTGGATCACCTTGTACTTATGATTTTATTCATTGATAATGTATGTTATATTTATTTTTTTACCTAATTGTTAGAGAAATCTTAAAACATTTACAAATATTTGGGGTTGTAACCTCTAGTGATAAATATAACACTCGGGCCTCACCTCTAACAATTATTTTAAATCGTTAATAACTAAGAATTGCCCTTACCCCAAAAAAGCTGTTGTCACAAACAAATGAGAAGTTCTATAAAACTGTCGGATAAGAAATATTGTCACTATATCAAATGCCCCAGAGGAGCAATTTTGGCGGTTACTCCATCAATAGTTTGTTATTAGCTTTTTTTTATTAAAAAACGAATTTGAGACCAGTTTAATTTAATACATGGGTTTACCCATGTGGAAGACACGACAAAAAAACAACCTTATAGTGAATATATCAATTATTATTATTTAATTTTTTTTTTTGGAGGGGTTGTAAAAATTTGTATTATGTATATTCCCCGAAAAAAAAATTTGAATGCGCCGTTAGTTAAAAAATGTACTAGAATCTATTTATTTTTCTCAAAAATTGTTGTGTGTACTTATTTATACTTTTTAGTTGTATAAAGATGTTTGAGTTATAGAAATAAAAATAGTTTATATAAATAATTATGGATTATTTAAACATTGGTTCGTGGAATATTAAATGCCTAAGTAAGTACTTTTAAACGAGGATTTCGAATTTCTGAGAAGTTGAATAGGTGTCCAGCATATTGATATACCAATAAATATAATTACACTTATTAATGTTAAAAATAGATGCATTTATCATAATGACCACTATAATAGTAATTTTACTTTTGCGAGCAATAATTGCTATTCTTGATTATTTTCTTCCATTTGTGGAAAACAACGTTTCCAATGTTACTTAACAATCCTGATTTATCTTGGTTTATTAAAATAATATAAGAACAACTGTCTTATTAGAAATTTAACTAGTTATATTATTGCATTTTATCTAATTTAAATTCAATATACAGAGTGGCCCACCACTCACTGACAACTTAAATAACTTTTGATCCAGTTAATATTTTTAGTTGATTTTTTTTTT